ACCTAACGTAACATCAGCAAGGTCCTAATGTACAAAACGTTATCAGCATTTCTAATAACCTCAGTAGGTGAAGTTTTAACGAATTCCAAAACTAAAATTCTAAAAAAGTAATGTTTGGAGTAACCTTTTTATCGTCCAAAAACCTCTCTTCAATGTCCAATCATAAAAAACCGCGTCTACTGATACCAAACAAGCCATTTTACAGAGTTATCCTTTTTTGATGATAAATATGGAAATTACTGAGTATGGAGCATTTATTGCAACTTCGTGTAATGGTACTATATTTCATCTTTTGCAGGTTACATACGAAGGTTTCTGTGTGGATTTACTAGATCGTCTTGCGTCTTCCTTGCATATAACGTATGAAATCTCGATTGTGAAAGATGGTAAGTATGGTGAGCCTGTAGCGAGTAACTCGAGTGAATGGGACGGAATGATTGGAGAGATTTTGAGAGGAGTAAGTTAAGCTTTCTGAGACTTCTTAATCATATCCAAGAAGCACAATCAAGGAGGCAGATATGGCAGTTGGACCGATAACAGTAACTGCAAGACGACTAGAAGTTGTTGATTTTACGGATCCATTTCTACAGTTGGGAATCTCTATGCTAATGCGTCAACCCAACCAGAAGACTTCTTCAACATTGACTAGTTTTCTGTGGCCACTATCAGCAAGTTATGTGATGATCCATTCATGACCAGTACAAGAATTTTTCCTTTTTTTTTCTGAAATATACTGCTGATTCAGCGTATGGACGTTTTCGGCCACAGCAACCTTTGCAACAGCAATGCTACTTACCGTAATTGCTGTTCTCTCTCCGAGTGAATGTCCTGCCGAATTCAATCTTCTAAACTCGGTATGGTATCTGGTATGCATTCTCCTCAGAGCGGGCTCGGGATACAACTGTCAGTCAGCGGCTGCAAGGTGTGAGCCTAGCTAGGCTCTAATATGATATGATAGATCTACCTTTTTGAAAGGTTCCTCTCTTCAATATGGTGGATGTTCACTTTGGTCTTGTTCGCGCAGTACACCGCTAATTTCGCAGCTGTGCTTACTGTGGATCGGAAAAATATGCCATTCAATGCAAGTTTCCTTGTTCTTAAACAAAATTTTATGCATTTTATGCAAAACGTAGACGATGCCGAAATAGAGTTAGTAAACGTAACTTATTTTGAGTTTTTTTTCTTTGAAAAAAAATGACAATTTA